CCTCCTCCCCTCCTGTTCCTCCTCCTCCTCTGCTCCCTCCTCCTCCTCCTCACCTCCTCCCCCTCCTCCTCCTCTTCCTCTTCCTCCTCCTCTTCCTTTTCCACCCCCTCCCCCTCCCCTTCCTCCTCCTCCCCCTCCACCTTCCCATCCTCACCCCTCCTCCTCTTCCTCTTCCTCCCCATCTTCCTCTTCGTCCTCTTCCACCCCCTCCTCCTCCCTCCCCCCTCTTCCCCTTCCTCCCTCATCTCCTCCCCATCCTCATCCCTCACCTCTCCTCTCCCTCCTGCCCCTACCCCCCTCCCCCCGCAGGCTCCAAGAACAGCTTCGAGACGCTGCGGATGACGCTGGAGAACGTCACCAACCCCTGGAGCCCCGAGCACCGCCTGGTGCAGCCGACGCTGGAGCGGACCAAGTACTCCCGGGAGCGCCAGGCCGCCTTCCGCTTCGGGCAGAAGCTGCCCCCGTACCTGCTGTTCACCAGCCCCAAGCAGAACCCCTGGGGCCACCACCGCAGCTACCGCCTGCAGCTGCACTCCATGGCCCACCAGGTGCTGCCGCCCGGCTGGCAGGAGGAGCGCGGCGTCACCTGGGCCAGGTGAGCGGACGCCGGCTCGGCGCGGGGACGGGGCGCACGGGCGCGCGCGCGCGCACCTGCACCCTCGGGCCCACACGCGTGTCCCCGCAGGTACCCCGTGGCCGTGACGCGCTTCCGGGAGTCGGAGCTGAAGAGCAGCAGCCTCTACAACCAGAACGACCCCTGGGACCCGCCCGTGGTCTTCGAGGAGTTTCTGCGCAACAACGAGAACATCGAGAACGAGGTGCGCGCCCCCCTTCCCCGCCCCGCGCCCACCCGCTCCCGCGCCCGCCCCTCCTCCTGCTCACGCGGGCGCTGTCCCCCGCAGGACCTGGTGGCCTGGGTGACCGTGGGCTTCCTGCACATCCCCCACTCGGAGGACATCCCCAACACGGCCACCCCCGGCAATGCGGTGGGCTTCCTGCTCCGGCCCTTCAACTTCTTCGCGGAGGACCCGTCCCTGGCGTCCAGGGACACGGTGATCGTGTGGCCCCGGGTCAGCGGCCCGAACTACGTGCAGCGCTGGATCCCCGAGAACCTGGCCTGCGACTCCCCCGACCCTTTCAGTTACAACGGGACATTCGGGCCGTGATGCCGGAGGGACAGGGACCAGAGACCCGCTTCTCAGGAGGCCCCATACAGAGGAATCATCCCCACCCCAGCCCACCCCAACCCCACAAGGACCCCCCCTTGAGAGCCCAAATACTATATTTACGCACCACATTAAAGAGATCCTTAAAAACAACCCAAGTCGGGTGGAGAGAGTAGCAGTGGGGGCGCTGGCCTTGCACGCGGCCGACCCGGGTCCAACCCCCACCACCAAAAGGGGCCTCCAGCACAGGAGCGATCCCTGAGCACAGAACCAGGAGTCAGCCCTGAGCACTGCCGGGCTTGGCCCCCAAGCCAAGAAGCCAAGCCAGACCAGTCCCTCCCGGGAGGCTGAGGCAGGGCCTCTCCGGGACGTGGGAGGTTTCGCCAGACCCAAGGGCCACTGATTCGACGTCTAGGGCCTAGAGATCGGCTGAGGAATAAAGGAAGCCTGCGTGCACGGGTGCGAGAGCACTAACGCCTCTCGTCAGGGCCTGCCACAGACAACCGCCGAAGTCTGCACAGCTGTTGGGGCCCCCTTGATCTGAGACCCCAAAAGCAAAGCCTGTGCTGAGGAAGAGAGGAGGGAGAGACCTGGGTGTGAGTAGAGAACAGAGTTTGTGAGTTGAGGGATAAGCAGGGAACAGAGGGTGTTCAGAGAGAGTGAGAGAGAAAGAGAGGGAATGAGAGAGTGTGAGAAGGAATGAGAGAAGAGAGGAGAGGCAGCAGCTGCCTGGTGTGGACAGGGCACAGGCGGTTCCGAGACGCAGCCGGAGGGCAAGGAGGCTGGGGCATGTGTGCAGGTGAATAATAGATGATGGGTAATGGGTAGCTGAACAGACAAACCAATCGACTGATCAATCAGTAGAAAGATAAGGTAGTAAAGGTGTGGTAAGGAGATAGTAGGTGATGGATTGATAATAGGTAGGTAGATAAGTCCTCCCCTTGCCGTAATTTTTACCAGATTCAAATACACACACACACACACACACACACACACACACGCACACACACACACACACGCTGCCCTAGGGTACCTTGGCAGTAAACTGAGGCGGTTGGACAAGGTGAGACAAGATTAGCCCAATCATTTCTCAGCTGCACGTTCTCTGAGGACTCGTCCTAAGCCCCCCGCGCGCGTGGGGACCTGTCCCCTCACCCTCTCCGGCTGTGTTGGCCCGGCTCCCCGAGGCCCGGGAGGCGTTGGCATCTGTGCCCACACCTAGCCCCGCCCTGCTCTTTTGAACAGGACAATTCCCTGTTCCGGGGCCACTTCAAAGCCCTGAGTCAGCATTCCTGACAGCAGGAGCATCTGAGAGCGATGGGCCCATAATCAGGGCGGGTGTTGGAACCAAAGGTCCAGCTGGAAAGTTCCAGAACGCCTGCCAAGCTGCAGGCTTCTCTGCTCAGGGAGCCAAAGATGGGGGTGAAGAGCTGTGCCCCCGTCGTGGCTGCAGACCAGGCCCGTCGCCCACAGCCTCACATCAGAACGCTTAGACTCGGTGTCCAGCCAGCAGATGCAGGGAGCAGGGCTCCACAAGGACACGCTGACCGGGCCGGGATCATCTCTCGGGGGAGCCCAGAGTCCCAGAGCATTGAGGAGACGAGGCAGGCAGCGCCCCTCCAAGTCTGGGGCTTGGTCCTCTGTCCACGGTGGCTCCCCTGGGACCTCTCCAAATGGCCGGGGTATGAGAGCAGCTGCACCAAGGGAACCCGGGGCCTCTGGGCAGCTGCTGGGCTCCAGTGACCTGTGCCCGGGGTCACGGACATGGCCCTGCCAACCCTACTGAGCATCTCACCCAGACGGAGACCCCGGCTCCTGCTGTGTCTCACCTGGGCGGGTCCCCAGCACCCACTGAGTGTCTCACCTGGGCGGGTCCCCAGGTCCCATGAGTGTCTCACCCGGGTGGGTCCCCCAGCACCCGCTGAGTGTCTAACCAGGGCAGGTCCCCCAGCTCAGTCCTCTGTGGGGAGCTCAGTCTGACATCGCCTCTGCCTTCTTGAAAGATGAGATATGAACCCCAATAACTTAAGATAAAATATAACTCAGATATACCCACCCCTGCTGAGTCCCCTAGGGGCAGTCTCAGGAGGGGTGAGGCCCAAGTCCCGGCAGCCGCCCCCACGCCCTAAGAGTGCCACCACCCCACGGCCTCAAGGCTGCAGGGCCAGCAAGATCCCAGGCACACGTCGGGGAGGGCTGAAAACTCCAGGCCTTCTTGGGGTCAGGGTGGAACGACCTCCCCCCACCACCCCCGTCCTTCTGGTGTTTAAATAAAGTGATGGGAAAAGTAAAAATAAAAAAAAGATGGGGAGACCAAGGGCCTGCAGGAGGCCAGCTGGCTCCGTGGTCCAGGTAGTGTCCTACTCCAGTCCTGTAACTACTGTCCTGCACGGTGTAAGTGGCCCCATCCTGGGCCTACTGCTGGGTCCAACCGGGTCTCTAACTAACCGCTCCCTTTGCACCCCCTGTGAGTGCATGGTTGTTCCAGACTAAGCAGCCGCCGCTCTTGCAAACACAGCCACAGAGAGAGCGTCAGGCCAAGAGATGGGCGCATTGCTGCCCGTTCGGCTTCTGAGGCCTCCTGCAAACAGTCGTGCCGGGGGCTCACGGCACGTCCAGATACTGTGATTGGAAGTTTCAGCTGCTTTCAGCTTCCCACACCCCACAGTGGGGCCAGGAGAATAGAACACTGCATGGGAGCAATACGACCATTGCCGGTCTGCTAAAAGCTACGCAGCTCGTGCAGAAGAGGAAAGGAACATTAATCTAAAATCGGAGGCATGGGGCTGGAGCGATAGCACAGCGGGTAGGGCGTTTGCCTTGCACGTGGCCAACCCGGCTTCGATTCCCAGCATCCCCTATGGTCCCCTGAGCACTGCCAGGAGCGACTCCTGAGTGCAAAGCCAGGCAGGAGTAACCCCTGAGCATCGCCAGGTGTGAACCCAAAAGCAAAAAACTAAACTAAAATAAAATAAAACCAGAGGTACCTGCCAGTGTGATAGTGTAGCGGGGAGGGCACTTGCCTTGCACACAGCCCAACCAGGTTCAATTCCAGCATCCCATTAGGATCCCCTGGCCCCAGCCAGAAGAGATCCCTGAGCACTGAGTGAGGAGTAAGCCCTGAGCACTGCAGGGTGTGATCCAAGAAACATAATTAATTAAAATCAGAGGTACTGAATAATCTTTGGTTGGTTTTGTTTTTTTGTTTGTTTGTTTGTTTTGCTTTTTGAGTCATATCTGGCGATGCTCAGGGGTTCCTCCTGGCTCTGCACTCAGGAATTACTCCTGGAGGTGCTCAGGGGACCCTATAGGATGCTGGAAATTGAACCCAGGTCGGCCGCGTGCAAGGCAAACGCCCTCCCCGCTGTGCTATCGCTCCAGCCCCCCCTTTAATGTTTGTTTGGGGGCCACACTGGGTGGTGTTCAGGGGTTACTCCTAGCTCTACATTCAGGCTCCGGGGACCGTATGGGGTGCCAGGGATCAAACCCGGGTCGGTCGGCCGAGTGCAAGGCAAGTGCCCTTCCTGCTGCCCTATTTCTCTGGCCCAAAGAACCACATCTCATCACCCATTAACTTAAAATGTTCCATTTTAAGAAGTGGGTTCTGACTCTTCCTTCCCTGCGCTATCTCCAGGTGCTCGGTTTCCCGAGAACCCCAGGCACTGAACAGCTGCAGTCTCTGGGGTCACCCCCGCCCCCTCACTCCCTCACCCCTACACCCCCACCCACCCACCCCACAAGCCCCCTTGTAGGACTGAAAGAAGTTACTCCGCACCGCCGCCAGTCGGGCGCTAGATGGCGCCGCTGCGCCTCTGCACCTTGGGCGAAGGTTCCCGCTGCTCAGTTTGCACCTGTGCCAGGTCCAAGTTCAGGGTCCAGGGCGCGGAGCCTGGGGAGCACCGGAAGGCAACGGAGATTAGAGAGATGCCGGCGCCTGCCCTGGCAGGGGAGGAGTCCTGACAACCCGCGTGCCCGGGGTGAGTCCCTGAATTCCCTCCCGTGGCTCCACGGCCCTCTGCCCAGGACCCCAAGGCCAGGGACGCCCCAGAGCGGGGGTCATCGCCAACAGCTTGGCTTGGAAACGCCCCCCCCCCGCCAAAGAACAGACACCTGATTGCTAGGGGCCAGGGGAGAAGCGCCGGGGACCGGATTTGCTTTGTCCCCTGGTGCAGCATTTACGGAGAGAGACTCACTGCCGGGCTCTGCCCCTTGGGGAAGCCGCAGCAGTTCTCTGGGGAAAACAAGACTCACTCTCTTTTGGCTAGTGACGGGAACAGGAAAATAAGAAAGAGAAGTTTGAGATGACTACAGCAGGAATGAGGGCCGGAGGTGCCTGCCACAGAGGCAGGGGTGGGGTGAGGTGGGGGTGGCAGGAGGGATACTGAGGACATTGGAGGTGGAGAATGGGCACTGGTGGAGGGATGGGTGCTCGATCATTGCATGACTGACACTCAGTCATGAAAGTTTGTAACTGTATCTCACAGTGATTTGATTTTTAAAAAAAAAAATGAGAGCAGGAGAAATTATATTGTAGCTGGTTTTATTCACAGGGGCTTTTATTCGCGACCGACTTGGCCGACCTGAGTTCAATTCCTCCACCCCTCTCGGAGAGCCCGGCAAGCTACGGAGAGTATCTCATCCGCGCGGCAAAGCCTGGCAAGCTCCCTGTGGTGTATTCGATATGCCAAACACAGTAACAACAAGTCTCACAATGGAGACGTTACTGGGCCCGCTCGAGCAAATCGATGAACAATGGGAGGACAGTGCTACAGTGCTTTATTCACAGACCCGTTCCATCCTTGTCGCCCCACTGAGACCCCACGAGTGATCCCTGTGATCTGTGATCCCTGAGCACAGCTGGGTGTGGGCCAACATTTTTGCAAAAAAGAGCAGACAACAGTAGCAGTTATGGGCCGTCGCTGTTGTGGTCTAGTCCGTGGTCTCCTACTCCCTCACAGACCAGCCCAGGAAGGACCTGGAGGTTAAACACCACTGATCTC